TCCCCCTCCAAATCCACCACCCCCTTCCACTTCCAGTGTCCCCCAGTCACAAGCAGGCCCTCTCCCTCCCCCACCTCCTCCCCCTCCTCCCCCTCCATCAGTGGCCTCGTTCCCAAGCACAGCCCCGCCGCCTCCTCCGAGTCAGAACCAAGAGCGAGCTGCCTTACTCTCGTCCATCAATTCGTTCAAGAAGAACAAACTGAAGAAGTCCACGACCAACGACCGCAGTGCTCCCGTTTTGTAAGGGAGACTAATAAGTTTTGGGATGTTGTTGTATTCAGGAGCATCTACAGAAGTCCCTATCTTCTAAGGAGAGGCCCTAGAGTGGGGATCTTTATGGTTGGTATTTCAGAGTGTTTACAGAGTGAGACACGAAACAGAGAGGTTAATAACATTGGAATCTACATCGATAGATCAATAGGCCTTAAGGGAGGCTTGAATTTTGTCTGTATGTGATCAGAAGTGTTGTATTTTGATATTAAAAGATGATATATAAATGTGTATGTATGTAAAAAAAATATATATTATGATTTTTTTTTTCTGTCACAAGCTAAATCAGTTTCAAGTAATTTTTATGTTCAGGTAATTTACCTGGTGTTACTAAAATCATTCCTCTCTTTGTTTTACTTTTGTTATATCTTTCATAATTTCTTCTTTTATACTTTGTTAAGATTTATAACAAGATCTGATTAATTACCACAAGCTCAAAAGTTGTGCTGTCTGAAAACTGAATGGTTGTGTAAGCTCAATAAGAAATTTTACTTTTTATCTAGTCAGTAGAAAAAAATACTGGTCAAAAACTTTTCTTGTTGTTTTGATTTTGTTATGTAACAAAGTCAGAATGTATTCCAGAAGGGAATATAAAAATTATGAATTATAGTGCAAAGCATTTATGACAATGTGTATTACTTTTATTAAAGAAGGTAATATGTAAGTTTACTATTTTATACTATGTTAATTATTAAAAAAAACAATTTAAGTCAAACTTTTAAGCCAAACTGAAGGTAAGTTGGCTAGAATTTGCATCTTTGTGATTATACTTTACTGAACATTTCAGAAATTATTTTTTAAATTTCACTTCCTGGGTTAATTTCTATGTTGATGTAAAAGGGACTGATTGTCATTGGCATATTACACAGATCACTGTTTGAGCAATGCATTTCTGTGAATAGCATGCATTTGATACAATTGCAAATTATTTGCAAATATATGTAATGAAGAACATTTTGTGTTTTTTTATATCATGTAATTAGTATCAGCTACAGATGAAGACTGGAATTGTCATCCACTCAGTAACAGTTTGAACTTGCTAGCAGAGCAGTTCATGATACTAAAGAGATCTTTGTTAATTAATTTTCTGAAAAAAAAAACATTGTTAACCTGGGCTGCTGACATTTTTGAAGATTTGCAGATGGCAGTTATGATAAAAAATATGAAAATAAAACCACCTTCACCATCGCAGTATGTCTCAGAAATATTTGTCTGCTCAAAGGCAAAAAAATTCAACCTTCATCACTGTTATAATGCTAACCATTCAACCACCACTTATCCAATATCTGCCTGTAATATATTGTACAAGTAACTAAGAGGCCAAGCTGTACATTTTGTATTTAGTATAGTAAGATGTGTAGGTAGCATGAACTGTGAGTTGAAACTGAGTTAAAAGGCATATATATCTATAAAATTACTCATGGTAATATCAGCTTCTGTAACATGGGCATAAAGTTTTTTAAAGCTGTTGAGGCATCTTGTGAAGGGGATAAATATTGATATAACTACAATAAACAACACTATTTTATGTACAGTGGTGGTACTGATATTAAGGGAAAAGTCCCTTAGGAAAGTAAATTGTTTACCCAGCTTTCAAAATGCATAATATTGATGGCACACAATTTTTAAGAAGTAAGAAAATGTGCAACTTGTAATGATAATTAATTTTTTCTTTTTTTCAGCGATATGTAGGCAGGATTTTCAAGATGTTTGGAATGTTTAGTCACAAAAACAGGTAGTGAGAGGAAATAAATGCAGATTATTGATATATTTTCTCTCTTTTAATGAGGAATCAATTCAATTTCAGATGGAGCAATTTCATATCATATTATGCCATTGGAAAGACAAACTCTGAACTATTTTTTTCTTTTAGTCTTTCTTTCTTGTGATTTTAAAGATGCTTTTTATGAAGTGATAACACAGTATTACGCCCTTATCTGCTAGTACGAACATTTTTCTTAGATTCTGATATGTTATACAAATTGGGTTATCTATACACAAGTAAGCTATGGGAAAAATAACTTTTCTTTTCTTTTCTTTTCTTTTTGCAATGGTACTATCAACTCCTTTTGGGTATTCCCCCAAAATTTATATTGAAAAAGTGTCCATTTCTCCCATCACATAGGTGGGAGAAAATATAGACAAAAACAAAGAAAAAATGCATGGGGGGAGAGAACATAAAAAAAAGACATTTCTAGACATTATCCACTGTGTGCTCCAACTCAGCACCGTTTTGGCCAATATTTTATTTAGTTGTACCCATGGAAAGGCAATAAAATTATGTGCAGAAATACCCCTATATAATTTAAGCAAATAATTGTATGTAAAAATACTAATCTTTGCATATTATTACTCTCTTCTTTTTAAAGGAACTAAGGTAGTATTTACATAAACTTTTTATTATTTCATTAACATTTTGCTGATTTGTTTTCATCATTTTCTCATATAGGCCTATTAGTAAATATGGGGTAGATGGCACTCCAGATCTAGCTAAACTCTTAATCTAGAAATTGCAAAATGTCACACACAATAAATGGACGAAGAAAGTATAACGTACGCATTTTTACGGTGACTATCAAATTTACTCCTCCCCCCTCATGAAATAAAGAGAAAAATAGTCATATAGCTTGCTTTGGTTTCAATTATGTCTATTTTCCCTGTAGCTTTGTAGACCTGTTTCTCAAGGAAAATTGGGAAGAGATAAGAGAAAAAATAAATATTTTCTGTTTAAGAACTTTATTTTTCGTGAAATACTTACACAGGGCTGAAGAAAAAAACAATCCAGACGGGTAAAAACACTTACAATAATGATTTCAAGCCATTTAGAGACAAGTTTCTTTCACCATCAAGTAGAAAGAAAGACAAAATCAGGATAGGAGCGTGCAGTTCATGGTTGTGAGAAGGTAAGAAAGAGAAAGAAGATACTTAATGCATTGAAAACATCAGTTTCATATTACGTGGAATTATTTGAGGTCAAAATTGCAGATTTAGATGTTAATCCATTTTCAAGAAGAGTTTAAGTTGCTCTACTTTAAGTTACTTTCTCAGTTGAAGATAGAACAAAGGCTTCCTCCAAATTTCCTTTAAAAGGAAGCTTTCTGGTTTCCTTTTATTAAGCAATCTTAATACGAATACCAGGTACTTCGCCACCTGAACCCAGACACAGACACTGTTCTTCAGTTGTCTCAAGAGCCTGTTTCAAGATTTTTGATGTAATGGACTAAACGAAATAAGACAAATGAGCTCCTCCATCCTTCCTTGGACCAAACTTCCTTCTGAAGCTCCAAGAGTAGCCTTGGCGCTGGCTGTGTGCCTACCATACGAAAATACAGGAACAGCTGATATGGATAAACTTATGTATCTCCACTTGTAGCACTCAAGTAATAAATGGCCAGGAAAGAAGGGGGTTATTAGCCACTGCATATGGGGGGGGGAAGACTCTCAAAGAATAAGAAAAAGGAAAGAAGAGAATATCGTTATTATCACTCTAGACAACACCAACGTTCAAAGCAATGTACAACATACAGCAATGGATAGTGAACACCATAAACAAGTAGTGATCATTTACAGCATCATAGGGGCATAACCCACAGGTGTCACCAAGCCTAACACGTGTGGAAAAAAAATACCTTTCAACAGTAGATTCCAAACTGCAGGGAAGGCCTTGGAAATGAAATGAAGCAGTTTTCATCAAGTTGACACCTATCATGAAATGAATCTGATGATTGTGATGAACAGTAAGAAATGAATAACAAGTCAATGGCGAGGTATGGGAGGAAATGAACAAAATTAGTGTCACTAATATCAACACATTGCCACATAACCTATCGCGCACACAAAATTGAGATTCCGCAATGTCAAAGATAAAAATGGCCTTTGATTCCAAAAGAATACATTCATGAAAACATATTTAACATTATTCATTTTTTTCTCTCTTTCCAAGTACTCTTAAGAAAGTCACGAGAAGCTCAACCAGATAATGTGTAATGGCTTCTACCATATATCATTTTACAGAGAAAATGTCTCCATCCTTTCTGAGAAACCTTTGTTATGATGTATATTTTGATAAAAGAAAAATTATCCTTTATTTTATTTTATCTTATTCTATTTCCATTACTATTATTATTATTTTTTACTAATACCGATAACATCGAAAAGGGCATAGCAAATCGGTATGAATATAACTGTCCAGTCTATGTTGTACTTAAACCAATAGTTACATACTCAGAGCATGTGCACACATCTAGTTTCATAAATGTGTTGAATGTAATTACACACGGAAGTTATAAAAAAAAAAGAAGAAGAAAAAAACAGTGTCCGTATATGCAAGTTCTGTTCGTGAGTGCAATTCGGGCTAGCTACTGGATATGGTAGGAAACGCAATTACCATTTCCCTCGCGTAAATTCTGAAGCTCATGCCTCCAAAAAACACAGAAAAAGGAAATGTTACCATACAATAACGGGCATTGGAAATATAGCTCATCACGATATAATGCACGTTTTCTTCTTCAAAACAACTTTTAAACGAGTTCTGATATGTACGGATTCATTACGAGTTCACCAAAACCCGAGATCCGATGTTGCGGGACACTTTCAAGAGAATATATAGTTGTAAAGGTACTACAACTTCTCAAACGTGCCCGCGATATATGACTTGCCATATACAACAGCTTTCGCCACAACATACGCGAAATAGTCCTATGTGTAAAATACTGATCGTGATTTCAAAT